AAAACAGTTACATCACGTCCAAAAAAAAAAAACAAACTTAGTTATGGCACAATGCCGTAAGTAAGAGGACACCTAGAAAGAACTAGGAAAATTCGGTAACTAGGAAATAAAAGTCGATTGAAAATTGATTTTAGGACCGTTCTGTAGTGGGGATTTGGGGGCTCTCTGCCTTATATTTTCAAATTAAAATCTTGGGATCCAGTTAAAAACCCACTACAACAACACCAAAGAGACGTACTTGCATAAGACAAGAAGAGGAACAAGGTCTCCTTCCCCAATATTTTTTTAAAAGTATAGAAATCTAGAAAACCCCGCCACAGCAATACCAGGGACGTACTTTCTATCCCCCCAATACGTTATTGAAAAATATAGGGAAGGGGGTCTTAATCGAACACCAGAACATAACGTCCAAAAAAAAAAATGCGATATAATTTCTTACTTCAACTATTGTTTTCAGTAGATAAAAATTGAATTTGTTTTAATCTCCGTGTAGAAAGGTAGTTCGAGGGCAAGCGAAATAAACGCACTTTTTTAAAAAAAAAAAAAAAAAAAGTTTTTAATAATCGAAAGGTTATTTTCTTACGTTGGTACTTAAGTACCGCCATGGAATTTCTATATAAAAAAAAAACGCATTCTAAATAATTACAAGTCTTTGAAGTTAATTTTTGGTTTTATTTGAAAGATAATGGAATAGCCTAAGTGTAATTCGTAACAGAAAAATTAATTTCCATGTCTAATTTTTTTTAGACATTACTCGTCTTTTAGCGAAAAGCCATTATAAACGGAAAAAATGTAAATAAAAAAAAATGAAAAAAAATTCAGTATTTGTCGTAGAGATACGTTTTTAGAAGTCATTTGGTAAAATTTAAGGATTAATTAACTTTTAACTAGATTTTCCTAAAAAAAAAAAAAAAAAAAGTTTAAAAGTTTAATTTTGTCATTAACGTTTACGCAGTGGAGTCAAACGCAAAAACACCTAACTTAAAAAGCGCGCTAAAAATTAAAGAAATACTAGTAGGGATACCCGGCGTTTCTCGGAAAATCTTTGAATAATAGTTTTTATTATTGACAATTTATTTATTTTTTCAACTATCTTATGGAAAATAATTGTTTATTCAATCTTTAAAAAAAAAGTTTTCGGTTTGTTACAAAATAACTAAACTTAGGAAAATACCACACCACGCTGGGGGGTGTCTGAGAATCCCCATACTTTTATTCAAAAAGACACTTTAAATAAAATATAGTTAAGTTCGTAAAATATATTCAACACGACTAATGTTTAACCGTAAGTAATATGCCTCTCCTAATTTTTAATAAAATATTTTTTCTTTTCAAATATAAATATAACTAACAATCAATTTTCAAAACTGAATTCTCAATGTATCTTGTTTTTACTCGCTTTCAAAATAGTAATTAAATTCATTTACAGAGACATATTCACTTCTTTTACTTCTTAAAAATCTAAATTACCCGCCAAAATAAATATAAACTTTTTTTCGAAGAAGTAAGGCTCGCTATAGTTTTTGCTTTAAAAATTAAATATCTTAATTTAAGTTTAATGTTTTTTTAACCGCACACACACACACACACTAAATGAATAAACTTTTTGTCAAATAATTGTATTTAATATTCTTTTAAATTTACTTCGTTGTTTTAATATTAATTTCTTTTAAAGTTACGCTTTTATTTACTATAGATGTGAAAATAAATACAAGAGAATGGAAATTTTAAAAATACATACATATCAGTATGCTAGCGTTTCGAAAGTATCACCAGAATTAAAAAGTAAAAAAAAAAAAAGAACGGTAATTCTAATCGGTAATAAGATTTTGTATTATCATTCATTTTTTTTTTACTTTTCAATTCGGAGAACTTCGAATTTCTAATGCATCTTAATTTTAAAATATCTTCGTAAATACAAATCATACGATATTTTTCTTTTTACAAAAAGCCGGTTTGGGTGATAATGAGTCTGTCATATTTACTATAATTTTTTTTTTGTTTGTTTTCAGGACACACACACAACTGTCCTATGGAATACCAACAGAGTAATAATCAAGAAATTGATAAAAAACAAGTTAACCTTACATTACCAATATTTTAAGAACATTTTTTTTTTTTAAATTTATGCGCTTTTCTTAAACTTTAGTTAGAATTCATTTTATTTTGTCCGTAAAATTAATACAATTTTGATTTTATGCTTATTACAAAAAATAAGCTCTCTAAAACTAACACGGTTTATTTTTCGATTCTTCTTCGTCTTTGATTTAAAATCTTATTTCAAACATTTCCCTCTGAAAAATTACAAGTTTTTGTGAAATAAATATTAAGTGTAGTTTTTTTTTATTTTCTAATATTTTATGCAAGCACCGATTCAAAATAAAAAGAATGAATGTTTTTAATATTGAAGTATTTTCGGGACGAATTTTCAGTTATGTTCACACTTGATTACATTTTTTTTTTTTTTTTTTTTACTGAAATAACATAGCTGTAAAAAACATTGATCCTCACCGAATTACAAAGTACACGCGAGATATCGAAAGTGTGTGTGAAATAGCTACACGCCCATATTTTCCAAGTTTTGTAATAACGTGGTAATAAATGGGTAGCCTATTACAATTCATTAAGTTATAAGTACTAAAAAGTTTCGTTTGAATCGGATAATTCCCTGATTTTTGTCAAATATTTTAAAACAGGGGGTAGTGATTTCATTTTTATTAATTTTGGGGTAACTTAGTTTTTGTGTTTATTTTTGTTAGTGCCATTTAGCAACAAGAATTACAGGTACCGTAAAAACGATGTCAGGTTTTTCATAATTTAAACTTAAATCTGCATGATAAAAAGAAAAATGAAATCAATCTTTTTTACGTTAAACCGTAAAAAAATAGAAAAGTATACACTACTACATACACAGGCAATTTTTAGTAGAACAGCATGAAAAAATATATATATAAAAAATTTTTGTCAGTTTTGTTATGCGCAATCAAAGAATATTCACACATTGTTCGCTTAACTTTACTGTTAGTGTTAATATTTAATATTCCCTTAGAACCCGCATAAACTGTGCTTGTCTACCTCCCCGGACGAAACTTTGCCCTTTGGCAAAGCCTCGTCCGGGCAGAGAGTTCGACAGTCAAGCAGGTTATGGCACTGTTCCCCCGTCGTTTAACTTTACTGTCGAAAAAGAAGAGGTTAGTTCTGTTTAAATCCCATACAACTACTTAATATCGCGAGTGTACGTCTACTTACAACACTATTTCTATAGTCTTCTGAAGAAAAAAATGCCCATAAAAATATTTCTTAGGTATAAGAAGTCAAGAGTAAATGGTTTGAAGAAGGTATATTGCACAATATTATTTGGAATGATAGTCATATTAAAAAGAAAGAATTGGGACATATTGACTACAACGTGGTCTTTGCTGAGGTGGATACGATGACGTTAAAGTAGGCGGTGTCCACTTAAATTACGTACCTGCTTAAAAAAGGAAGCGATATCTTAAATGGAAAAATTAAGTCACGGAATACATTCCTGCGCAGTAACTCTATCTCGATTTTCATGAAACTATCACATATGTGAGTTTCTTTCAAATCTTCAATATTTATTTCTTTTATTATTATTTTTTTAATTTTCACGTACAAACTAAACACAAAGGATATATTTAAAAAATAATTTATCCGCATCGGTGATATATCATTGTATGAATTGGAAGCATTAACAGATTAACGGAATGCGTTAAATTGTTGAACCGTTCAACTGTTAAGGAAAAAGAGTCAAGGCCGGACAGTTATGGGCGATGATAATTCGTTTATCGCGCTAAAAGATGATGTTAAGAACTTGATACTTCATTCACTGTCTTTTTAAAAATCAATATTTGGGAATATGTAATCAAGCTGTCTCAATATATGCTCTATATACTGACGAATGTATGATTGAGGTAAGGTGGTATTTACTTACAGGTGTGATTTTTTTTCTATTTTGCTGAGAGGAGGATGAGTAGATCAATTGTTTTGGTTTAAAATTTTCACTTTATGATCCAGGATTGTATCTTTAGGGTTGATTTCAGATCTCTTTGACACCACCTAGGTAGTTTTAAAATGATTCACAATGATTCTTCTTGATAGAATTTGTATGAAAAAAAGAGGGGGAAAATAGCTTCCTTATGCCTAGTTTTTCATTTCACTACTAAACAGAAACTGAACCTAATGTCAGGTTGCAATTTCAAGTTTTAGTTTTTATTTTAGCAATTAAGATTAAAACTTTGAAGAAAAAATATTTAAATTGCTCTCTGGGGAATTTGAAAGAGCAAATCGATCTTTTATTTTTAGACAGTTCTAAATTAAGTGAAATTTAAAATTTTAACTCTAAAAATGTCATTTAGGATTTTACAATGTTTTTTTGTTTCTCAATTTGTAAATTTTTGAAAAGGAAAACTTCTTTCGGCTGACATATTTTTTTCAACTCTAGTTTATTTGTGTGACACTAACTACTCTTCCCAATTAGAAATAAATAAATGAAATAACGCCCCACATATTGTTTCAGTTTGATACATTAAGGAAAAATACTCTAAAAAGTAGTAGAGAAAATGTGTGAGGCTGTTAAAAAGGTGTTATATGACTAATTCTTTTGAGATTATTTAATGCAACTTAAAAACAAAAAACTTAAGTTAAGTAGAAAAGAAACAAGTTTTTTTTGTTTTGTTTTTTTAACGTAGAATTTTTTATTTGGTTTGCTATTTTATATTCTCTTCATTCATCATTCCTAATGAAATTCATTATTTTGAATTTTTTTTTTATCCTGAAAACGGAAGTTAAAAAAAGCTTTTTTTGTTTTTTTTTTTTTTTTTTTTTTTTAGTGATTTACTCAGCGTAACTTAGATGTGGCACAAGGTCGATAAGGAGTACCCAGTGAGGATCGAATTCCCTACTACTACTTGCTTGTAATTGATCGCGCGAGACAAGCTTGATAACCATTCATGCCGAAAAAAGGATCTGAAGAAGTTATGGTAACTTAACTCTAGTTTTTTGTGTTTATTTTTCTTAGAGCTATTAGCAACAAGAATTACAGGTAAAACGGTGTCAAGTTTTTCATAAAGTTATATTTAAAACTTAAAACCACCAGACAAACAACTGAACTGGTTGTTTATTCTACATGTTGATACTTTTTTTGTAAAAATATATTTTTATCTCCTCATATTGCGAGTGGTGTTTTTAACATTTTAGAAAATTTCAGTTTTTTTTTTTTTTTTTTTTTTTTTTTCAATCATGCATAGATAAAAAAATTATCATTCGTTAAAAATATACGTTACAAAATCCTTTCTCTATTTCTTTATGAAGTTACGTAAATTTAATTATGACTAAGAATTTTTTTGTCTGCCTTTGAAATGTTATTTCCCACAAGCGTCAGTGTGATCAGTTTTTTCGAGCTCAGCTTCCCACTTATTTAAGATATAATCTTCCTTCCCACTGTTTGTTTGTTTTTTGTATGCTCTACTAATCTTAGTAGTATTTTCATTTAAATTTTAATTAATCTAAATTTCTTGCGTGTGAGTTTGGAATCACAAGCGTACGTCCTATGTTGCATTGTAATTTTTAAAAATTAAAAAACTAAAACTCTTGAAGAAAATTATTTGTCTTAAAAATAAACAATAAAGACTTCATTTTTTAATGTTTAAATAAAAAAAAATCAACCTATGCACTCTAAGTAAAATTTTGTTTGAATTGTATCAACTATCATCTTTTTAGTCTTTACTCTGTTTAGTTTAGTTTTTTAGTAGTTTGTTTAAAAATGTTCAGGCATCCAGCACTAAAATACATACGGAAATCAACAGAAAATTCCAATCTCAATCGACTCGAACTTAAACTTCGGAACTTGATTCTTTTTTTTTCTATTAATAATTTATTTTTTACGTAAAAAAAAATGTCAAAAAAAAACAAACTAAAAGCTAAAAAATAGCTTGCTATTTCATCTTAGGCAGTGACTTTTTTAAATCGGATTTCGCATTTTAATCGGTTGATGCCTTGGTATTACTGACTAATCTCGATTTCTAAATATTTGTCAGTAACTGAAATCATTTATTTTTAAGTTGACTAATAATCTCGATTTCTAAATATTTGTCAGTAACTGAAATCATTTATTTTTAAGTTGACTAATAATCTCGATTTCTAAATATTTGTCAGTAACTGAAATCATTTTTGTCAATTGTTTTTTTAAAGTCTTAATAAAAGCAATGATACGATACACTTAAATCAAAGTGTATCGTGTCCTTTTAACCGAGGATGGGTAATAAATAATTCAATCAGAATAAAATTACGTAAAAAAAGCAACAAAAAACCAAAAAAAAAAACTAATTGGTTGCAGCAGTACACTTTTTGTTTTCAATTCAGAAATTACTTAAATTACAAAACAAACTACAAAGTTACTTCCTCACTGAAGCCAGAGAAGTTGGTGTTCAAGCTAGAGAATTTCAAATACCGCTAAACAAGTTTAGTAGCGATATTATTGTACAAAAAAAGTGAACCAGCATGCTCATGTTAAATTCAACATTAATATTATTAATCCTTAATTTTTGTTTTTGGACTTTACAATTTTTGTATATTAAAAAAAGAAAAAAAGAAAAGGAATATTTAAAAAAAGAAATATCAATTCAAATTACAGTTTGTCAGAACTGAAGTTAGAAATCACATAACCTCAATAACTCAAATTTGCTTTGAAATATTTTATCAAATTTAAAATCTATTATTAATTTTGATGTCAAACAAAACTTGTGTTAAGTCTTTAGGTAGTTTCAACATGTTTTATTAAAATAATTGGATTTATTATAAAAACTGCAGCCTGAATTTATTATGCTGATTAAACTAATTATTACTTTTAACTAAGGCCTCTGAAATGTAATAAAATATTTTTTTTCTATAATATGTTGAAACATGGGTAATGCAAAAGATTTAACAAATGCTGAAAAACAAAAATTTATTGAGTGAGGGTATGACCACATTGGCGATATCATCAAATAAAGTGGGGTGTCGAAAATATAATTATTGAGAATTAGAAGGAAAAGGCTTTAAGAATTTGTTTCCTTGAGGGGAAGATAAACTAAAAAGTAAGTTATAATGAAACAACCACTTTTGACTAGTGCTCAAATCTTTGGACAGGCTGGAATTGAGGAAGTCAAGGAGGACAAAAAGTGTAGATTACTTCACAAATTGGAATATGTCAAAAAAATCTAGGCAAACTCCTTTTAGTAAAGTAAATATTTTAAAGTGTCAAGATTGGGCCAAGAAATACATGAAAATTGACTTTTTTAAAGTAATTTTTACAAACAAATCTTGGGTGACAATTGACGGACCTGGTGGATAGGCCAAAGGATGAATTTTCTCCAATGTAGATTTGCCTGTGGCCAAAAGGAGGTGGCAATGCGATGATATGGGTTGGGATTTTCGACAAAACTTTTGCTGGATCATTCAATGTTGAAGTAGTTAAACTGAACAGTACTAACTATTGTGATTTCATGGACAAGACTTTCTTTGAATGGCACAAGTCCTAGCCTTGCAATTTCAAAGTGAAGTGTGTATTTATGCATGATAATGTTCCTTCGCATGTATTTAAGGCATGGATTTTTTTTTTTTTTTTTTTTTTTTTGAGCATAAAAGATTTATAGGTGAGAAGATTAGATTTCTAAGCAAGTTTGAATCTGATCAAGTAAAAGTAAAGTTCCAATTACATAAAGGTAGCAAGCAATATGACAGCAAAGCAGACTTATGGGAAGCAATTAAAATCACCCTGTTGGAAATTGAACCTGCTGGAATAAAAAAAAAAATTTAAAATCAATGGATAATAGATTGCTGGCTGTTATGGAGAAGGGTCACTATATTAAGATGTAAATGCTTTAAAGACTTGTATATGTTTGTCATTTGTTATAGATATAGATTTGATTACCTTGTTGTTGAAGTAAAAAGTGATTTTTCTGGTTTTTGCATAATAACTTCAGATTGCAGTTTTTATAATCTAATAAAACATATTGAAACTACCTAAAGATTTCACTCAAGCTTTGTTTTTGGCATCTAATTCATTTAAAATTTGACAAACATTTTTTCAAAGCAAATTTAAATTATTGAGTTTTATGTAATTTGCATAATAACTTAGACTGTAGTATATATCATTGTGAAAAAATGTTCTCAACACTTGTACATGTGTCAGGTCCACTTATAGTACATTAGTACCCTCGTAGCCCCCCCCAAAAAAAAAAAAAAAAAACTGGAAAGGTCCTTCATCTGGCCTTGTGCCACAAAGCTTAGTCAATAGTCAGTACAGACATTTACAGCTTCTGGTTTTCTTTTGTCATCAAGTTAACCATATTTTCTAAATAAAACTTTTAATCTCATTTTGCTACCCACAAATAATGACAACAATGTTGAAGTAAAAACAATCTCTAGTTGATCTTGAATTCAATTTTAACATTACATTAATTCAGTATATATTGCATAAGTGATTTCTGAGAAGCATTCAGATGTTACTAGTGTGAAATACAATAACAAACTTTTATGCAAATTACAAAACTTACAATAATTGGTTAGAATTATGTTATTTTTTTTCTCCCTCTCCCATATTAACCATTTTTATTCTTTATGCCAAAATATATTTCAGACTTTTATAAAAAAATGCATTTTTTTTTTTTTTTTAAATCAAGAAAAGCTCTTATAGAAATGCTTTAAATGATAGCATGAGTTTTTGAATATGACAAAAGAGTTGGATTAAACTATTTTAAAATTTAAATTTATTGATTAGGCATTTTAAAAATAATCAAATATTATTTCTAGGTAGTTAGTCCTTAACTCTTTGGTACAGCCTTATCTTTACTTTCAGCTCTTACCCTAATATATTCGGTATATTTATTATCTTGATAATTAGTATGTTCAGTTTAGGTCAAATATGGTTGATCATTTTTCTAGCTTTAGTGTTTCCATTATTTGTTAAATATTCTTATTAATGGAGTGAAAGGAATTTGTTGAAACTCACAGATTTTATTGCTATCTTACAGTTTCTTCTTTACATGTCAGATTAGATAGCAAAGCCAGAATAAAATATTTAAGTTATTTTTTTATAATTTCTAAATATTCAGTCATCTGTCTTTAAGCCATTTGTCTGTTTGATAACAGAGTTTCTAGTTTCCTCAACATTCTTATCAGATTTTAGTGGGTATGAGGAAAAAAACATCAGTAACAAATACAAGCAGGTAGTGTGTAAATTGCTCTCGAGTAGTTTGTAACACTCTATTTATCATCTCTCAGTTGCGTCTCTGTCTTTCGGCAGAGTGCACAGGAGTGGCTCTGTCAAAGGACAGTTGCAACTGACGAAAATTATACTGAGAGGTGCCCAGTCCTGGGGAACAGCTGCCCAAGGCCTCACTCTCATATTGCACTAGAGAGAGGGATTGGTACTTGCACCGAGGCTAGTGCAACCGACAGTTGTGGGGGCTCAGGCTCCCCACATTAAACTAGCCTTGTGTCACAACCTGACCTCATGGTGGGTTGAGTAAATACAAAAAAAAAATACAGGCAGGTAAAACTTATAAGCAAATATTTTAAATGATATGCTCATTTGAGCATATGCAAGCGATAACTGAACAAACTGAAAAAATTATTCACTGTAGCTGCAAACAAATAATTCAAACTATTACACGTTCTCTCTGTATAGTAGTAGTAAGTATACAGATCTCAAATCGGATATCATATTTAACAGTCTCTGAAGAGTCAATAGTTTTATTATGAACAAATCAATGAAGAGAAATAAATTAATATTTTTGTATTCATTAGAATTACAAGCATTGTCCCTCCTTTATCCATATTTACATCAGTTTATTTAATGTGGAGTAAATGTGAATTGAATATATTTGATAATTCATTTTGGTTTAAGAGCTTTATGATCTCTTACTGAAGGAATTTGCTAATAACCTTAATAATTTAAAAAATATTTGATACATTAATATTTGAACATCTCATTTCCAGAAGAACATTAATCTATTTTTCTACTTGTATATTCCTGTTTATATGAATCTCTAGTCTTTCTACATATCTATCTATCAGTTGATAAATTTGTCAATCTATATACATTACTCCTTTTGTGTTGTTTATTCAGCTTGTTTTCTCTTTGCAGATTGTTATTGTGCAGATATAGTTTGTCACTTTAACTTTTTTGTCAGTGTTATAAAATTTATTCCAGTTCATAAAAAATTCTGTTTTAATATCAATTTTTTTTTTTTTTTTTCGTATGGTTATTAAACTGACCCTAAATTTTAGAGAGTATTTTTTCAGTTATAACATGTCTGATATTTGTTGATTAATACCAATTGTGGTGTAATGCCATATTCATAGAGTGCTTATTGTCAATGGTTAAAAGATAGATGTGCAAGCCAATGTAATGTCAAATGCTCTATAGATGGTATGTTAGTGAGCCTGTTGTTTTGTATAAAAGTTCATAACATAAGGATCTGTTCCTCTTGTAGGTTTTGTATTTTGTTGTACTCTCTCTCCCTCTCTCTTTCACATATATATATGTGTGTGTGAAATGACCAATACGAAAGTATGCAAGGTGGAATATATGTAAACCAGTTTTGTTCAATAAGTGCATCATCAGAACAGCTAAATATTTAATACTTGATAAATCAGTTAATATTGTGAAACCATTCACTAGATCTTGTAAGTACAAATGAATGTCAAGGTTTTCTTCTCCGTATTATGATTAAGGTATTGGTATTTTGAATATTTTATATAATAGGTTAGCCCATCCTTTTCCTGAAAATGTCTCTATTCAGAACAGACAAGTCTTTCAATAATGAATGTTTAATATTAAGCATAACACTTTTAGAATTGCTTTAACCTACATCTGTTCACATTTATATATTGCAAATGAACTTCTTCCAATCATTGAAATATCCAATTTCTCCAACTATATATATTTGCTTGAGGTTCAGAAGATAATTCTGCAACATCCATATTTACTGCTTTCTGACATTTCCTTCTTAGATGAACAAATTGTTGTAATTTTAAAATATTTAAAAATAAAACGTAATCTCTCATACAATATGCAAAATATGATTTTATACTTCATTGCTGATAACCAGAGAAGGTAATACAGTTTGAGTGGCAGCGGCATTAAAAAGCTATTTATTGACTTTGTATAGAAAAATATCTGTGATAACAGTTAATCAACACTTTCATTTCCCAATTTAACTTTGCTCCATAATAAAACATTATCAACAAAATCAGTTCAACAGTCAAGAAGCTGTAGATAGATGCAATTCATTTTGCACCTGTATTCAAACTTAATTAGTTGTATCAGCAATTAGTATGTGGCAATCAATATTCATGTGTTATTTCAACATTTATTTTCAAAATTAGATAAAGCATATAGATATATCAATTTGTAGTAGAACACAACATATATTGCATTAAAGTATATTATACTTAGGTATGGGTAGCCACAGAGGTTAGTCACTTTAGTAAGTAAAAATAAAAGCAAATTATTTATTTTGTTATATTATTTTTATTGAATATCATATTTCATATTTTGTTTCACTATCTTCTGACATTGTTCAGGCAATCCTATAAATTTCATTATCACTCCAGAACTAAGCAAAGAACTGCTGTAGATACCTTTTACAATTTTCTAGAGAGTTGAGAGGTTTTAAATTAATCAAATTCTGGAAAAAAATGATAATCTGAAGGTGCAACATCTTGCTAATATTGCAGATAAGTAAAAGCTTCCCATCTAAGTTTTAACAATTTTTGTCTGATCCCCAACAAAACATGCAATTTGGTGTTATCCTGAGAGGAGAGGTTTTTTTTTTTTTTTTGTTTTTTTTTAACTAATTTCACATACTTTTTATTAAGTGCTGTTTACAGTCAGCGTGATGGTAGTACCCCGCCCCCTCAATTGTTTTGTTCTCTATCGTATGCACACACAGAGACACACCTTGTTTGAATGAAAACTAATCTTTGGTATAGTTAATAATAGTAATTCATGTCTTTCATATTATTGTAATGTATCTTTTCATCACCTGTTACAATTTGTTTAAAACATAGAACATCTTTTGTTTACATGTAAAGAGTGTATAGAAATAGTCTAGTTGGTTATTTTCACTTATTTGGAAGTCATACATCAAAATGACTAATATAACCAATTATTTGATTTGAATATTTTGAGCATCATTGCTGTGCTGTATAATATTGATTGTATTTTCAAGTAATGCCTTGTTTGTTATAAACCTCAATTAATCTGTTCAACCATAGGAAATTGTCCATGGAGAAATCTCCAGCTCAAAATTTCATAATCCACTTTTGATACATTCCATCAATCATAGCACCTTCTTCTCTATAACATACATGAATCATCTTTTGCCTCAGAGTTGCACTTTGAATTTTCTTTATTAAAAAAAACAAAACATTAATATACTGGAAATGTTACTTATTTTGCATTTAGAGTAGTTTAGTCTTTAACTATAATATATATATATATATATATATTTATTTATTTCAGCAAAAAAACAAAAATTACTTCAAGGGAATGATAATAGCTATCTCTTTGTTGGGGTAATTTTTGTTTTTTTGCTGTAAAAAATACATATGCTCTCTGTGGATCAGTTTTAATAAGTAATATTACTAGGATCCACCTGGATTATATACCAATAGATTGATTACCTGTACTTATATATATATATATATATATATATATATATATATATATATATAATTATAAATAATATATATATAATATATATATATTTGTTGAATTCTTTAAAAGATGCATACTTATACAACTCAAATGTTATTTAAAAAAATTAATTTAAAAAATTTCTTTCTACTTAAGTTCACTCAATACAAGGCTCAAGAGACACTTAAGGTAGAGGTTTATTGAATGAAAGGTGTGATTATGAGGACTGGTAATGATTGAGTCTTGACTTGAAGAGATTAAGATTGTAGTTTTTGGAGAAGTATCTAGATGGGTGTCTGTTTCACACAGCAGCAGTTCTTGGGGTAAAGGCTGTCTGAGTGGAACTGCTTCCTTACAAATGGAATATGGAGGGAAAAGGATGGTTTTTAACTGTCTGGACATAGCATAGTGGATCTTGGCTGTAAAGGCCTGAAGTGGTGGAACTAAAGAATGGAACTTATTCAAATTTTTGCTATAGAAATAGTGATAGAGTAACTGGTTTGCAATGTTGGATCTGTTGGGGAAGGAGATTGCTCAATGGAAAATATGCCATCCCTGACAAGGTCATTTAAACAACGTTTAACTCTATTAAGATTGGAAAGTGAAGATTTGGTTTCTCCAGCCAAGATATAGCATGAACACTCTATTGGGGGGTAATCTTGCTCTTGTAAAGATAAAGCATGGTAGAAAGTTTAGTACTATCTATACAATGGGCTGACCACTTTTTTCACGATCTTTGCCAATGAAGTTAAATTAAAACAATTTTTTTTACATGTGGATCAGGTTATTATAGTTGTATTTTCTATAAGTATGTATGTATGTGTGTGTGTGTGTGTGTGTGTGTGTGTGTGTGTGTGTATATATATATATATATATATATATATATATATATATATATATACACACACATTCATACATGATTATTTCCATCAGTATGAATGCAACCTAAATTGATTTTTGGAAATTCAAATTTCCTATAAACTGTTAATATAAGTTTTATTTTTTAATCCTTGACTTTTAAAAAAAATTAAATTTCTCTTTTACTATACCTTTTATTAGGTCATGTATACTGCTAGTTAGATCTATCAGTAATGGGTCAAGTATTTCGCCGCTTACATGAATTGGAGCGTGAATGTGTTAGCCAGCATAACCATACTGCAAAGGCTCTTGCTAACAATGGCTTTCCTGACCTTCGGAAATTACCTCCAGAACTTAGCCTTGCTGTACTCTCTTATCTAAATGCTACTGATCTCTGCTTGGCAGCCTGTGTCTGGGATACTCTTGGAAATGATGAATTACTCTGGCAAAGGTTTGTAAATTTCTTCACTTTTTTGGTTTTTTTTTTTTGTTTTGTTTTGTTTTTTTTTGTTCTTATCTATCAACATTTCTCTTTTGATTTGCATGATATTTTTCTAGAAATGAGAATTAAATTTGTGAAATTAATTCATATTCAGAGTATAAGGAGCTGTGAATATTTTACTTGATGTATTTTTGAAATCTGGGATTTTAGTTATCCCATTAGCAATATATATATATATATATATATATATATATATATATATATATATATATATATTATATATATATATATATAAATTTTGTTGAAATTTTATGACAAAGTGGCAAAATTTGTCATAAAATTTCCCTAACACTGTCCTTGATGTATTAAAAAATTCACTTCACTATACAATATATAATTAAAAATGATACATATATTAATAATTAATAATATATTGTCTGCTTATACTTAAATATGCAATGCAATTGCTTATGATTCGTTTCTAATTATTTCATATATTCCTTTATTTTAAAATTTTGTAAATTCAACGCAAACATTTTTGATCAGTGTTCAGAAAATTTTGTTGATTTTTAAATCTAAATATTAGTGAATGTCATGCTTATGAAAAATTGTTTTAATGTTGTTAAATATTATTGCATAAAATCTTTGAAGCTAACTGTTAATAACATAATTTATTTTAATATTTATAAGTAAAATTTCTTCAAATTTTAGATAATTTTGTTTCTATATAATAAAACATTTTTTTTTATTGAAAGAATAAAAATTTACATTTTGTTTTGCTGCTTTTGACAAGAATATATTATTTATTAAGGCTGTATTTTTCATTTAGTTTTATTTGTCTTTTAAAGTTTTGAGTTGTAATATTTTAATCAGTTTGTGAAAAAACATTGCACTCACAGAGAAATTTAAAAGCAAAGTAAAAACAGTTCAAGTCAAGCTTAAGTTAAAACAAAAAAACATGATCCCCATCTAAAAGCAACAACTTGGAAGAGTTCATAGTATTGAAGTGTACTGTTATCTTGACTCAAAAATTTATCTATCTAAATTACACAGTATAGGTTTCACATTAACTTTAGGATGAAGTATATTTTAATGTTTCTTATTGTCACTGTTTTTAAAGTAATATCAATAATTTTCTGTGTTACAGTTTGTGCAAAGCATCATGGGGTGAAGTCTCTGTCTACAATCATTGGCTAGATCAGCCAAAATTCTCATATAAACGTCTCTATCTATTATTGGATGAAGCCTCATTGACATTCAATGGAGACCCTTTTATTGTAAGTAATTGATACAAAAGACATTTTGAAATTTAATGAAGACTTAGACATTCATTTTAATTTAGATGTTTTCCTATATTCATATTATTATAATGGACACTAGCATCTACAGTGAAAAAGTAGAATCCCTCCTAAATGACAACACTTACACAAAAATCAATGAACAAGCAATAAACACAGACACACAAGGGTTCAACAAAACAGTTAAGAAACTATTAAAAAATGAAAATGAATCCTGGACCAGATACAGCTTACCCAAAACACACAAACCTGACATACCCATCAGACCCAGTATCAACAGTGCACCCCACAAATTAGCTAAAGCCATTGCAAAACTCCTAACTCTGTTCCTAGGAACCATCAACACAGCACATATCGAACACTCTGGTGACTTAATCTAGAGAATATGGAAAACAAGCCTAGACATCAAATCATTATACACCAACATACTTATCATGAAATGCCTCAAAATATTGAGAAGCCACCTCAAAAAGTCCAAAGAAAAGCTTCCTCTACCCATACACAAAATTATAAAAATATGCAAACTAATCACTGACCACTGCTGCTTCTCTTTCAACATTATTCTCTACAAGCAAAAAATTGACTTACCAATGGGGTTACCTATCAGGAGTGTTCTTACTTGCCTTTTTCTAGAATTCTTAGAATCTGGTTCATTTAGATACATCATATCAAACAGCTCTACTTACCTAAGGTATATAGATGACGTCCACTTATTAAATCCCCAAGATACAAACCTATTAGACATATTAATGAAACTCTATAAAGTTGTACCTACCACTGAATTTACACAAATTTGAAATAAAAAATTCTCTACCTTTCCTCAACATCTTACTAATATGCAACAATGAGAAATTACATTTTAAAGTAAACTCACAAAACAAAAATGATCTAATCAACTTCTATTCCTACCACAACCAAAACATAAAATTGGGACTAGTCATAGGATGCTACCTCAGAGCTCTTAGGATATGTAGCCTGGAATACCTAAATGAAGAGAAATATATTGAGTAATCTGTCAAACTCCTCCACAACTCACATTATTTTATCCTCAATGCTAAAAAAAAAAATCCACAAAGCCAAAAAAAACAAACAAAACCAACAACACTTCTAACAAAAATTACACAAAATTCATAATCCTGCCCTCCAACACTCTTTCTGCTAAACTCGCAAACAAATTGGTCATCCCTAATACTAGAATCATTACCACTACCTCCAAGAGTACTGGAGATATAATTAGAAAGAAAAATAAACCCAACACCATTTCAGATGCTGTGATTTATCAAATAAATTGTTTACAATGCAAAAATGTTTGCATGGGGGAGCCATCACATGATCTAAAAGCCTGCATTTATGAACACAAGAGAGACTTGTTTGGACAAATGATCTCTTTCATTCTGCATCAAAATGATGCTAGACATAACTTTAATTTCATTAATGCCACCCTAATTTAAAAAAAGAACACAATTCTTTAAGGAGAAAATACATTGAAAACTTAATAACATTATTACCAACTATAAACACTCACCTAAAACATTACATTACCATCTTTCTTTGAATCCATTCTTAAAGAATCTAACTTGTATCTATCTCGTACAAAATACATTCTTGAAGAGGTCAGTTATAAATTAGAACCTTGTGACACTCTGCTGCGCAGGTTGACCACACAAAGCTGAAGATATCAGAATTCCCACTAGACACACACATCACACAATTACAATACGCATTACCATCCAACATAGACATACAAGAATCATCACAAACCTATATACACATAAAATTATCTATAGTTTTAATACATGTGACACATATCTGACCAATGAGAACTGACCCAAACATAATTGAAAATACCAGTGTTTCTGTCTTTTTTGTTTGTATTCTCTCAATCTTTGACAAAGCTTTAATAAAAGTGAAACATGTTAGATTGATATACGTTTCCTATTTGTTCTTTATTGTATCATATATACATTATATGAAAAGATTACTTTTAAATATCAGTTTTATCCTGACTTCGAAGTTTCTTGGTAAAATTTCCACTCTTCAAGGGTAGTGGTTTTAAACAGTATTTCCAATTTTTTTAATTTGTTCCACGTCTTTTTCAATCCACTTTTTTACTTGATTTTGTACATGTGCATATTCATGAATTTAATGAGTTTAATCTTTTAATCATGTACATTTGATATGGGAATATTTTTTAATGAATAAAATAAAATAAAAACAATAGCAATTATAATAACACACATCCACAAAATAGCAAAAATAATAGTCAAAATAAAAAAAAAAAAACTATCCATTTAATAATAAATGTTTAACTAATAATATAATATATAAAGCAATTGTATCAAATAATAGCAACACAGAAGAAAAGATTTACATAGGAGCAACTGAAACCACTTTAATAATCATATGATGTCATTTAAAATAGATAAATATGCAAATAACACATTATCAAAATATATATGGAGTCAAAAACAAAATAATATAACTACTATAGTTAAATTAGGTACCTCCACGAAATCGCTAAAAAAAGAGCATAGCTTGATGAAAAAGACGCCAAACTTGCCGAAAACTAAATTTTATTGTCTAAATGCTTATGTTATTATTAAGAGGAAAGACCAAAGTTTTTTTTTTTTTTAATTATTTTTAAAAAATTTTCCTTCTTTTTAGAACATTCTAAATTTTGATTAAAAAAACCTTTTTTCTATTTGTATCAGCGGAACTAGTAAATAACATAGACAATTTTTAGCACGTTTTTTTGGTATGACACACATTAATTTGAAAAATCGTGCAAAAATAGAAATAATTATCGGATGTTAATGAAACTTTCAGAAACTATTCACAGATGATCGAAATTATTATAAATATGTTTTTTTTTTTTATGAAAGTCATGGTAGAAATATTTTTTTAAATATTTATTACCCCCACCCATAACTAATTTTATGAAAACGCTAGAAATTCGATCGCATCGGTTTTAGTGATTACAATAATTAAAAGCACAGGGCTTTGAGGAATGCAAATCATGTTTTTTTTTTGTTTTTAATTGGATACGCAGTACCTGAAAATCAGCTCTGAATTGTAACATACAAAACTCAATAAAACAAAGATATTATTTAAGTGTCCTTATGAGATAGATCTTTTTTTAGCACGTTGTAAATTGTATCATTTTGACTAATCAGAAGATACCCAGTAATTAAGAAATGTAATTTTGTGCTTATAATCGAGCAGTAATTATAAAATACGGAAGACCAACCAGAATATAATTAAGTTGCGTTATTTGAGTTAAGCATTGTTCTCCGCTGTTAAGGCCTTTTACTTTTCTCCGGGCGAAACACGTGTGGAGAAGTTAATTTGATTTTTCAATTTCAACTGAGAAGGGTACCTACAAGTATCAGTATCATCTTATGAAATTTATATGATCTTATTTTTTATATTAATCTCAGTTACGACATTTTTCCATAAATGAAATATCAAAATTAATAATAAAATGAATGCAAATACAAATAACAGTAGAATGTAATAAATGTACATAAAATTATAGTATTTTATGTACAATTCTGATAAAATTTCATAAGAAAGGTACCTATAAATTAATTAGATACCTTTCTTAAGAAATATGAAATTTAATGTCACTCTTAACAGTTTTATTTTAATTTCTTTACAATATATTTCCCATAAAGCATCATAAACGTAAAGGTGAAAGCTAAGTACAAAAAAAAAAAAAAAATTAGACCACTGAAAGTTTTCGTTAAAAATAACGGGGTAAATAATTTGTTCACGTAAATGTAAATTATTTCACTTTTCTCCTTCCGTAGAACAAATTAGCCTCATGGAATTTGTAAATATATCATTCATCACATGTCAAGAGACGCGAAAGTTTGACCTGCTTTGTTTTATTTTCAAATTACATCTTTTTGACACAAAAGCTAAGTTAAGTTTGGTTCAAAATATTTTAAATAAACATTATAATTTCTGATTTTCTTAAAATAAGTTTTGAAAAAATGATAATTGATATTTAAAAAAATTTCAAAGTCAGATTTCCAGTTTTTTTTAAAATGGAAAAAAATGGTCAATTTTGCTGACTAAAAAAAAACTAGATTTTTAACGAAAATTTCGGACGTGCTAGGAACGATTAAAAAATGGAAAAAAATACCCCAAAAATACTTTGACCTTTCCTCTTAATAATAACAAACATTTAGACGATAAAATTTTGTTTTCGTCAAGTTTGGCGTCTTTTTCATCATGCTATGCTCTTTTTTTAGCGATCTCGTGGAGGTACCTAAGTTAAATGGGAAAATTATTAAAAAAAAAAAAAAAAAAAAAAAAAAATTTTTAGATTTTCAAAATATTACCAATATGAATTTTAGATTGTGTTTAGAAGAACAATTATCAATATTAACTTTTAATAATCAAATTAAATTATCAAATAAAAAGAATGAAATAATGTGTCAATGCAGACATATTAACAAATATTTACTTTGTTAATTTAATAATATAACAATAAATCAATTAAAATATTAATTAAAATATTATAATTTAATTAATAATAAAAATTAAGAAATATTACAGTTTAATTAATAATATAACAACTTCTATATAAACCATAAGAAAATTAATTTTAATTTCAAAGAAAAAATTTAAAACTGAAAGAAAAATCTAAAGCTGTAAAAATGAAAGATATAAACAAAAACAAAATTTCATGAACATGCGTATGTAAAGGAACATTAAATTTATGAATACGCACATGTACTAAAGAGAGTAAAAAAGCAGCTTGAAAAAGACATGGAACAAATTTTAGAAAATTGAAATAAATTGGGAATACCATTTAAAACTACAACCCCTGAAGACTGAAAATTTTACCAGGAAACTTCAAAGTTCAGATAAAATTGATATTTAATAATAAGTAGTCTTTACATATAATATTATTGAATCTATATGTTTAAAATTATTTTAATATTTTTAATATTGAGTGTGTGTGTATATATATATATATATATATATATATATATATATATATATATATATATATATAATCTGCTGTTTCTTAAATCTTAAAACATATATATATATATATATATATATATATATTAGACAAGACTACATTTTTTATGCGTAAAATAACAGTTAATTAACTTCTAGGCTGTTAAATTTATGATTATCAAATAAAATGCATGTATTCTTTTTTTTTTTTTTTTTTTTTTTCTTTTGAATGAATTTTTGAGGTTGTTTTTTTTTTTTTTAAGGATTTGGGTGATTCTATCTCCCCCCCCCATCCTATAGGTTGGCTGTTTATATAACTTCCTGTTACCCATTTGTCTTCTGTGTGTATATCCTAAGTTCAAATGGGTTCACTTCCTTATATATGTTGATGCACCTACCACCATCCTTTGACCCCCCAATTCTAGACTTGCTGATTTCCTGATAATTATATTTCTGATTCTCTATTCTCTTCATTTCACTATATTTGAGAATTTATTCATTTCTCATTAACGAATGCAATATATTATTTTGTCTGAGACTACAATAGTGTTGTCGAGTATTTTAGCAATTACTTTTATTCGAACAGTATAGTTAAAGATAAAACGGTGGTGATCAACCTGTCTTTAAATTTCCAGAGGTTTGAAACTAATTTTTTTTTTTTTTTTTTTTTTTTTGCATATAAAAATTGAAATTTACTATATACATTAGATGCTGATATATATCTGACTTCTGCCTATAATTTGGTGTCTATATTTGCATATAATATAGAATTTCTGATTAAATCTGTTTGTTACATGTTTATATCTGCTCTGATCTTAAATATACTTTACTATACATTTTGTATTGTTTCTGGTAATCTTGTTTATTTTTCTTACAGTGCATATAAGCATGTATTAAAAGGATGTATTTCAAATAGTCTTACATGGGCAGATCAATAAATCCACAGTTGTTAGCTGAATTTTGATCAAAAATTTTCACTATTTAATCGGTACTTGAGAAATGTTAATTTCATTAACAATGAAAGTTATGTAGTAAAATAAATGCTTTTCATCATGAAGCTACTTGTATCACTTATTTTCAAATCAGACTTGTGTAATTTATTGATACTTTAAAAAAATATGAAGTTTCCTTAATATATAGAGAAGTGTTGACAAATCAGTTTTATCTTTTTTTTTTTTTGATAATCAAAGTTTTTGAATTTAAATGGTTTCAAATACTATACAAAATAGTATTAGTCACCAGAAATGCACTTATGCTCATTGGTATCTAAACTATCAGTCTGCCAAGAGACTTCATGGTATCTATTTATGTTCAGTTATTACACAAGTTTTTGTAACATTGTTTTGAAATTTCTTGTAATGACTGACAAATTTGAGCAATATGCCTGCATCTAATTTTGTGTGAAGCCTTCAGAAAAAGAATTTAGCCCCCAAGGACATTCATGCTGACATGGTTACTACATTAAAAGATGGCAATTCCTACTTTATCAACAGTGCAAAAGTGGGTAGTTGAATTTAGGAGGGGAAGGGTGAGTCTTGAATATTACTCAAGCTCTGGATATTATGCAACTGCCACCATTGAGGAAAACATTGATCATGTTTGCCACATGGTGATGGATGACAGGCAACTGATTATAAATCAAATAGCCAATGCTATTAGCATATTCTATGAGAAAGTCGAGGATATTCTGTTCAATGAATTTAGTATGAAGATTTCTGCTTGGTTGGTGGGGCTGACCCCTGATCAAAAGCCCACTAGACTAATCGCATCATGGGAAAGTCTGAGATTATTTGAGGCCAATTCCATTGGTTTTCTTGAACAATAACCCAGGATGAGTGTTGGTTTTATCACTTTGAGACAATTCATACAGTAGAAACACCTCACCACATGTGCTCCAAAGAAGGCCAAGGTTGTTTCATTTACGGGGATGGCGATGGCCTCAGTTTTTTAGGATACAAAAGTCATTGTGTTTATTGAATATCTTCAAATGAACCATCAATGGAAAAGTACTATGCCAACTTAGTTATGAAGACTAAAGGTCCAGGAAAACTGACATTCATTCATCAGGACAATTCTCTACGATACAAATCCTTGGTTTTTTAATGGCTGCTGTGTGTGACTGACTTTGAACTGATTGATCACACCCTGTCCTCCTGATTTGACTATCATCTCTCCCCAAAATGGAAAAAAAAATCACTTGGCTGGGAACCAGTATTGCAGTGATGAAGACGTCATATCATATTTTTGACCAGCAGGATGAACTGTCTTCTTTGAACAGTCAGATGTCATCAGTTTAACTGGAAAGAAACCATGCAGTTATTAAGAAGAATAGTTGAAATTAATGCATGCAAGATTTCACAGCTCAAGCATCACTCCTTTATAATCAGCCTATGAACTTTTCAGCCTACTCTCATATTACTAATCCATGTTGTATACTTAATTGTTGAACAACAATAATAATAATGAATAACTTGTGTTGTGGTCAAAAGTAACAAATAAGCTAAAAGAAAATGTAGTTAAAAATTAACTAATTAAAAAAAATAGTTTCATCTAACATTACATTATTTTCACAGTTAAATCTTGTTTGTTTTTTTTTAGATGGAGGCCATCTAAAAAAAATCACACAAACAAGATTTAACTGTGAAAATAATTTAAACCATTTTCACAATATTTTTATTTAGTGTGTGAGAGAGAGAGAGAAACTATGAAAATATGTTTATGGAATCTGTTGCCTGAATTTTATTTCTAGTTCTGACATTGTAAATTTACTAAAGTTTGTTTCAAATTAATGGAAATATTTCCTACATAAGAATGTAAGCAAACACAGCAAAGTTATATTTTATTTTAGATGGAAGAATCAAAAATTGCATTTTCACAGTGATGCTTATAAATGTTTAAAATGGAAATTTTAACCTCTTGTATCCAAAACTTGATATTTAATTTCTAAAGTTAATCCCAGTGCAGCAGGTTAAATGATTTGTATTCATTAACACTGTTTAGATATTTTTCTGTCATTCATGCTTCAGGGTTTTTTTTTTTTTTTTTTTTTTTTTAACACTTCCCCAAATCTGTCATTAATTGAAACTGGAGTTCATTTTTATGAAGTATCAACAAACTGAACCAACAAACTCCTGATAAATGATTTTTCCTATACTAATATCACTCTGTTAACTGTAAATGAGTTTATAATACCTGCCTAGATTTCCCTAAGTGATAATACACTACTGCTTAGGCTTCAGACTTGTAAAGCTTACAAAGAATATTTTTTGTTTTTTTTTTTCCAATTACATGATAAATTTGATAATTTTCATTTTGTTTTATTTTTCAGGGTATGGACTATTTAATCGGCCACAATCTGGTTGAAGATGATCCATTTGAAATTGCTCAATTTCTTCACTCAACAAAACGATTACATCCAGACAAACGACGAGAGTTTTTAGACAAACGGTATAAATATCTCATTTGAAATGCTGCTTTTCTGTATGATCTCCTTTTTGATTGGGTAGAATAAAAAGTGTTGGATAGGAAAAGCATACAAGACAAATCTTAATAAATATTATTACATGGATCTTTTTACTCTGAAGATATCAAATAATAATTACTTCTTTCTATCTAGCTTGTTGCCTATTGAGATGCAAATGAGAAAAACATATTTAAATGTTGATATATTGGCACTAATAATAATAAAATAAATTCCTCATATTAGACTAGGTTAGAAATATTGCTCCAATTTTGAGTAATTCATGTTCTATGATTAGTTGATGTCTGTTCATATATTATATAGATGTTTTAATTTTTAATTTATCCTTTTGAATTTTGGGAAAAAAAGATAAGATTTTTGTTCTCTTTTTTCTATATACCTCAGACGAGACATTCTTGAACATTTAGTTCAACTGCAGGATTTTGAAAACTTGTTCCTTCCAACAGCTTTACGCCAGTTTTTCAGTGAAGTATCTGCTCCAGATGAACGTGGAAGTTACCTAACTGAAATGATGGAGAAATTTTCTGAGAGATATTGCAGGTGTAATCCTAACCTGGGTCTTTCAAAAGGTAATTTGAAAGCTTATTACTTTTACATTGACAGTTTGTGTTTCTAGAAAGTTATAGCTACAAAGGTCAGTTTATGTTGATGTTATATTTAAATTTTATTAAAGAGTAATAATTTTTTTAGTGGCCACGTGCAATACAAATGTTTTATTATAAAACTACAACTCCCAATTTCATTCAAAATTGTGGATTTGTTTTTATTTATAATTTGTTCATAGTGGCATTAATTAGAGAAGATTAACACTTTAACATTCAGCATGCTCAAACTCGCCTCATAAATATCAGCTCTCAAAGTCACATTGCTTATGGTCAAAATCTCACTGTTTGCACTACTTCCTGCATTATTTGCAACTATGTTGTCATATATTATTGCAGAGTATACATGGGAAAGGTTGAACATTGAGCGCTGATATTTACGGTGTGGGTTGAATGTTAAGGACTTGAAGGATAGACACTGCTGCATTGTCATAGATCTATATGAATAAATGCAAAATTGGAGCTCAATTCTCCCACAAATTCTGGGATTAAAAAGCCCCAACTCTACTTTATAGTAATTTGAGATTTATTCTAAACAATACATAATTGTGGCACAAGGCTGAGAGGGAAATAGAGAGCGGCTGGTCTTCATTGGCTATCCTAGTTAATCCAACTCACGACCCATTCATTCAATAAAATTTACTCATTCACCACAAGAACACATCCATCACCACTCAATCCTGCATATACCACTATACCACATATTCACAGGGGACCTACAAAACGCCCATGATATAAAAATTTGAAAGGCTATATAAAGTTCGTTTTTTACAAAAATAATATAAAAATTTCATGATTCATGAAATGATGGGGGAGGGGAGATGAACCCAGGAAAAAAAAAAAAAAAATGCAACACAAAGACAATCACACCCTAAAGGCTCAATATCTGTATTATATATTATCTACTTCTAGGCAATATCACTCTTCAGGTTTAACTAATTTGCATATTGATTTTTAAAAACGTATGTTTCATTAATTAACTGTCTTTAATAAATTCTTTTATTCAAGGATTGTTTTGATTTTCATATAAAAAAAAATTGTTCTGTTTAGGAATATTGTCTTATATAGTTCAGAAAAGTGTCTGAAATTTGCATTTTACTTGGCCTTCAACAAGTTGGCATCTAAAACTTTCCTTAACTATAGCAAGCCAATTTATAAATGAAATGTTCATTTAAAATTTTTGTTTCAAAAATTTCAAGTAGTCTATATATCTTACTTTACGAAGCCTGCTAGTTATGAATAAAAGACAGTCATACTATAAATCTTATAATATCATAGATTTTATATCTTAATGTCTTTCATGGTGGTAATGTTACGTGTTGATAATTGTAACAAAGGAAAAAAAAATGATTTACCACAACACAGAGCTAAATCACAAACAAATATTTAATTTAATAAAACAGAACATAAAATATATACAGGATAAACAATTGTGGCCAACAAAACAGAAAACACAGAGTTACTGGCAAGTGTTACGAGGGAGAAGGAAAGGGAGTCAAATATTTTATCACTTTAGGGCTAGTGAAGTAATCTAGGTGCTATATTTGGAAATCCACAAAGGTGTGTAAATAAATATTAATTTTTAGTTTGGTCAATGAAAATTAGTCAAAATTCTATTTACCAAATTTGTTCCATGAAATTCTCTTTTGGGTTTTTGTTGGTTGGCAACTTTTTATAGAGATTCTTTCGGCTGGATATAATAGTCCTTGAATCAAAAGCCGAAGTTGATAACAGCAGAAATTCTCATTCATCAACATTATTTATTGTACTTTGTACAAATGTGGCACAAGGCCGAAAAAGGGGGTTGGGGTAAAGGACGGTCATCACTTGTCTTAGATTAAAACTTAGCTAGCCACAACCACTGACCCTATCATACAGAACAATATTCCTTTCACCAAAACAACACATTTATCCATACCTTTCTTACTACAAACACCAAAATGCCTCTTTGACTCCATGAAAAAACCTAAATAATCCCCTTATGTACAAAAATATTGTCTGTGGGGGAGGGGCATAAAACAACAACTTCTAAAATGATCCCCAATGAATATATACAAAATGACAAAATATATTTACAAGAAACCAAATAAAATTAGTGTTAGTAATAAAACCCCCACAAACTTTTTTGAAAGTGGCAGAAATATCAGTTAACCAGACGAAAATCGATGCGGGACTTATGAAAATAAGACCACACTCATTCTTCCCAAGCATTCACACAGGCACACACTCATTCATACACAAACAACAATTACGAAAAAACACACACACGAAAAACGAAAAGGCGCCCATCTACCAGAGAACTGACATCACTGACCACCTAAAACGAGGGAGGGATGGGGAGTTAAACTAAAGGAAAAGAAAATGGGGACAGAAATAAAAGGGGGGACCAAAGAGCAAACACACCCTAGCTAAGTTTACCAGAATAGAAAAACTAAAAGAAAATACAAAAACCTAATCTAACCTAACTCTGGGATGGGTTGCCTATGTTGAACCCAGGAAAACAATATCCTGAATGCCTAACCGCATCTAGATGCCACTCAAGGTCAGCCCCTTTACTCAGCACATATGCGCAAGATTCACCCACCTTTTGTTGAATTCGATGAGGTGAGCCGCCCGCCCGTCCCTGATCTTGACTTTGAGCTGATGCTTAAAGAACAAGATCAGTTGGGAAGAAGTGAACTTCTCGCCTCATGGAATCCCTTCTGACGTCGTCCAAATCACGACTCTCATAACCCCTAGTAAGCAACAGAACACATAGTGTTCAGCCTTCGTCATCTGCGGCACCACATTGCTACAAACAGAACTGGCTTCCAGGACAAAAAACTTTCCCCGCAGCATGCGAACCATGAGGCCTTTCAACAAACTTGCATTAACGGCACTACCGCCCTGCACTGAAAGAAGGCGTGACCAATAGTCTCGACTTCCCCCCGACAGCGACGACAGTTTGGATATTTCTCCAAGCCTGCTGAACAAAGTCTCTTGTCGACCCAGAGGGCTTCAACGAATCACCAGCCAGGTGAGTGATGTCTCATCGTTATTGAGGCATTTCAACCCGGGCGCCCAAGGCCGCCATCGATGAGCCTCCTGCTTCGTAAGACCGAGCTCGCCAATCAGATCATCTTATACGGACCCCTGACTAAAACTTGATATAATGCCTTGCGAGACAACGCCTGGGCGTTGGAGGCCATCCGAAGCCCGTAAGAGGAGCTTCAGAGCGCGACGACATTCACGATAAAAAAGAGCACTCGGCACGTGGTGTATGGCCGGCCTCTTCTTCGCACGAGTGCACACTTTTCAGGGACGGAAAATGTTTCTGGACGTCTTCTTTCCAAAATCACCCTCCTCATTCGACCCACGACACATTCGGTCTAAAAAGGTAATGCGAAGCATATATTGACGAATCTCAATGCTAGGCATTCCCAGACCGCCCTCAGAGGGATGGAGGCAACAGACCTCGCGAGATACCATAGGGGCCTTGCCTCTCCACAAGAAAGAGAACAAGGTCCGGACTAATGACATTAGTCGGGCATACGGGAGTGGAAGCACAGAGAGTCGGTAGAGGAGGATCGGATAGATGTGAAACACATACTTCCGCCTTCCCTTCAGGGAAAGTCTCCTCCGAGACCACAGATTAATCGCGATCTCGGCCTTCCCTTGTACCTCCGACCAGTTCATTTCCAACTGGAGATCAGGACCGAACCAGACGCCGAGTATCTTGATCGCCCATCCGTCCCAGAGGAAAGGTCCGGAAGAGAAACTCCTTCCACGCACCCAACCGCAAGCCCACAGACTTATCGCGGTTGATCCTGGCCCCTGTTACCATCTCATACCCACTTATTTCTTTTGCTGACTTCGTCAATCTCGGCTCTGCTCGACACAAGAGCCGAAATGTCGTCAGCATAGGCAGAATACCTGGCTGAGGTGGTAGCGCCAGGCAGGGTAATTCCGCGCAGGACCGGATTCGCCTTTTAACTTGCGGAAGAAAGGTTCCAACGCAAGAACGTAAAGCAAGGGCGAGATCAACCTGACGAATGGAGCGAGACAATACGAAAAGGCCCGACCTTACCCCATTCACTTCCACCAGCGCACTGGGGTCGCATACAAGAGTCGGATCCAGGAGCGAAAGTCGGCTTCAAACCGCCGCCGACAGGACAGCCTCCAGAAACCGATGGTCAACCTATCGAAGGCCTTGGACTGATCTAAATTGATCAGCGCGACTGTCGACTTGTTCTAAGACAAGCTGCACCATATGAAGGTTATCCTGAATCGTCCCTGCCCTTCACAGCACAAAAATGTTCGGGGCCAATCAGACGAGACAGGACAAGCTGCAAACGGTTGGCTAAGATCTTCGCCAAAATCTTTAAGTCAGTATTTAACATCGTTAAAGGGCGAAAAGTTCCCAACCCATCCCCACCGTTCTTGTCCTTACGCAGCAACTGATCACACCCCCTGGTGAAGCGTCCAAGGTAAAGACCCTGCCTCATCCAGTGGTTGAAAATCAGCTGCAGCAAAGGAACAAAAACGGGCGACAGCCTCAAGTACACTTCGTAGGGAAGACCATCTAGTCCCGGAGACTTATCCAGGCCAACCTGCTTCAGCGCCCCCAAATTTCCGACTCTGTTATGGGACCCCTCGCACCTAGCCGCCCAGCTGCCTCAAGGCAGGGAAAGTCAGCCAAATAGGGCATCGAACTGAGCAGAGCTCAGACCGGCCCCCTGGTGAAAAAAGATCCTGAAAGTAAAGCCGAAGGCCTCGCATATGCCCGCGTTTGTAGTCACGGTCCGCTTATCCGCAATGTGACGACGCTATATGTCGCTAGCAGCGCCCGATTTTCCTCTGCACGCAATTCAGCGCCATATTCGTCGCCTCAGAAGACATTCTTTTTAGCCTAGCCCCCAACTACCAGAGCTTGATCCTTCTTGATAAGCAAGGAGGCCAACTCTGCCTTAGCTAAGACTATGTCCCCACTAACACGGGATTTAACAGCCCGATCGACCTTTTCCTCTAAAGCCGCTTGCCGCTAATCTATCTAGATTGAGTCGACGACTAAAAATCGGCAGCAAAGGTTCTAATCTTAGATTTTAATTTTCCCCACCAGGCGTTACCCACAACCGCCCCGTCAATTCCCTCTGAATCATTAGTAGCAGCTGGTCCCGGAAACCTGCTCACCAAAAAAAGCGAACAGTTAAATTTCCAGTAACCAGCCATTCTAACCTTAGGGTTATCTAGTTTACACGGACCCGGACAAGCCTATGATCCGTATAAACTATATAGTGGAAACTTGGACACTCTAAGAGCCCTACATCGACTCTCCTAACTAATACTCGGTCCAGGTAGCTCGCAAGCGAGCCAGGAGCCGAGTTGCCACTAGTTGTCCAAGTCCATGCTACCTCCTGAGGGTGCTCATTCCGCACTTATCGACAAGATCAAACCTGCCGATAAAGTCCCGAAATGCCTTCACATCAGGATTGTTAGTACCCGGTTTTTTACCTATACGATCTATCTCGGGGTCAAGGACGGCATTCCAATCCCCCGCTAAGACTACCCGACGAGAAGTCGTCAAAAACGGCTCGATCTGCGAAACAAAGCAGGCCGCTCAGTATGACTATTGGGCGATAAACCCCAATGAGACGTAAAGCCTTATCCTTTATAGTAACATCCAGCACACAAAGCCTGCCCGCCGGATCTGCGAAGACAAGGGTACATGCAGCCTTCAAAGACTTGCTCACTAGCCAAGAGACACCCTCGAACGACCATCAAAACATGCTGAATAAAGGGCGAACCCCTTAGACAGTATATCCTCATAGTCATGAGAAGAAAACCGGGTCTCTTGCACACAACAAACATTCACCCCGAGGCGCTGAAAGGTCACGAGAGAGCCTCGCCCTGCGAGACTTGGACCTCAGGCCCCGCACATTTAACGAAGCTAACCAGAGAGCCATGAGAAGTCCGATTAGGGTTGTTTACCTGCATTAAACATGGATGGGGTAAGGATATCAACCGCCTCTCCCATAGACCCATGGCCCATCTCAGTCTTGATGGTGCCGCCTTGGGAGATACCACCGCCGATATCCCAGGGAAGGTCAGTTTAAGAGCTCTATACAGGGAGGGGTGAACTAAAACTGGGACCCTCCTGCACAAAATTGCTTTTAAATTATTTAATTGTTCGTTCTGAGGATTGCAATCGGCAAAGCCATTTTGAAAGCACTGATGGCCTCATCGAGCATAGCCCAAATCGGTTTAGCCCCAGGTCCAGTTCTGATGACTGTAATAACCCTTTTAGGCCAGCGGGAAATTTTGAGGCACTTCTATATCCTTGTCCGCCGAATTGTCGAATCGAGAGCAAATATCTTAAGTCTTTTATATACGTTGCCGTAGTCCCTGGCCTTTTTCGCCTGGGCAGGGGTAATCGACAAACGCCTTCTCCGGAGTTATAAATAGGCTTCTGTGCCTTCTTTTTTATTTTCATCTCCTGAGAAGGGCTTCGGTGACGTTTGGAAGGGAGGTGGCATGTCCGCTTTTTTTAGTAGGGGAATGACTTGGCGTATGTTGAGGAGTGTCGGACGGTTTTAGTTTAACAGGGAAGGAGGGGGTGTGTTGAGGGGAGTATAAAAAGATCGGTGTTTGTAAGGGCTGGGATCTCTACTATGGGAAGCGATTTGGAAGGAGATATCTGGGGCGAAGGTCGTTTCTTAGAGGGTATGGACCGTGTAGAGGACGTGGAAGGAGAAGGTTCTGAAGATTGAGAGACGCGCTGACTATCTAGCTTCTTTTTGAGCTCCTTAATTTTTTCCGTCTTTTCAAATCCGGGATCGAATTTCTTTTTGTTTGTCTTGGAAAGACATTTGAGAGGCCGGGCATCGCCCTTAACGCTGCCAGTGGGAGTGGGGGGGCTGTTAGTGCGTTTCGTCCCTGGGGCTTCAGGGGACTGAGGACCCGCTGCCCGCGCTTCCTCTGGCCTTACTAGCAACTAGCCATTCCCCCCCTTCTCCGCACCTGCACTAGTAGAGGGCGAAGGCTCTTGGGGAATGTGGTCTTTTGACCAACCGGAGGAGTTTCCTACCGGTCCCAGAAGCTGGCATGCCCATTACAGGCGAGGCGGTAGGTAAAGACGCGGGTCAGAGGGGGATTCTGGTCAACGGGAGATTGAACTCCAGAGGCCTTCTTCTCTGGGCAGGAAGAGGAAAGGTGACCAGTCTTTCCGCACTTCCAGCATACCGGTTTCGCCCGGTCACAATGACCGGCAATTTCAATTTCCCTACTACCAGGCAGTTGAGGAAGGCTTTTTCATCTAAACGGATATCAAAACTCCACCCCCCGCTCAGGCTATCGCAAGATGCGGCTAGTATTTCTCCGAACTGGGATAGGTAGGCCGCGAGATGTTCCCCGAGAACCTGAGGAGGGACCTCATATATTGAAACCCTGGTCCTTCTTCGCCAAGGTACTCTGTCCGCAGAATTAGATCTTTGGTAATCAAGTCCTTGCTCGAAGCTATCTCGCAATCTTCCGGTGTGGGTAACAATACGTCCCACATGACAAAGCGTGCCCTTTCACAACTCTGAGGGGCTTGAACCCCAGGGACTCCAGTGATTTTATCACTGTGTCTTTCGTCGAGCGACAAATTTTGCGTGTTCGCTTGTCCACGCACGAAGACTGACACTATTCTTTTTCAATTTTACTTAGTTCCTGGGTGTCTTCCAAGAGTCCACCTTCTACGACAAGGTGTGCGTAAATCTTAGCTCGCTCCAAGAATTCCGCAACATTGATAATACAACTTGGGGGACTTCCAACACGAGGGCAATTCCCGGCCTCTGAATTATTCATTTTTGGGTCAGATTTTGAGGCACTATTGGCCTCTATACAATTTTCATTGCCATTTTGGGCATCCATACTTGTGGATTTTTGGCCATTTTGGCCTTCCGTAGATTCATGGGGAGAATTTTCATTGACATTTGATGAAGTACATGGTAACGCAGGATATTCCTCCGTGTCATCTTTGTCAGGTGGTTTTTTCTTTACAGCAATTAAATGTTTTTTTACGGACTTTTTTATGTCAGGGATGACAAGTTTTTTCTTTTTTATAAGAAAAGACGAAGTATTTTTTTTCTTCTCCATTTTTTTACAAAGGGAAGGGGAGGGAGGGTGAAAACATGGGAAGGGAGGGAGAGTGGTAAAAATAAAGTACGCCTATAGGCGGTGTGTGGGGGGTAAATAATAAAGATCGCTAGTAGCTTAAAAAGACAGAAAAAAAAAATGTCAAGGCGAGGTAGCAAAAAATAACGGCAAACGATAAATAAAAGGTTTTACAAAGGACAACAATTAAAACAAATGGCAAGACAAAAAGCGAACTAAAAAGTACAAAAATTCGCCTAAAGGCGTAAACAAATAAATTTAAAATACAAACAACTAAAATGAACAATGAAACGGTTGACAAAGGTAAACAAGAAAATACGAAACTATCAAAAAATTAGCGGAAGCTAGTTACAAAAACAAAAATGGCTGACGTTAAGAAAGCGAAATAAAAAGTAAACAAAAGAAAATAGACACGTTAGACAATACAAAGAAACAATACAAGGATTAGTACAAATTTGGCACGAAAAAAAGCACTACACGAGAAATAAGTTAACAGATATTAAAAAGGTAAGAAAGAAAATACTAGAAATTAGAATTAGTCAGAAAACGTAATACAGACGGGGGTTAAAAAAAAAAAAGAGAACGGAGATATAATTAAAAGAGAAAAGAAAAAGGAAAGACTGAAATAAAAGTAATAAAGATTAAGAGGATAAAAATAAAAATTGAGGAGGGTACAGAACAGAAAAGAAAAAATCAAAATCTTTTCAAACAGTCTTATAAACAGGCAGTAATAAAAGGAATAAACTTAACCAAAAATGCAGATTAACACAAAAAACGGGTAAAATCCAAACAAACCAGTCACGCGTGAGTCGATAAATGACAAAAATTGACTAGAACAACGTCAAATTCTCATTCATCAACTAACAACCCTTTTCCAAAATCCCATTTTTATAGGGGCTAACACCTAATTTGCATATTTCTAGATGATTCTCGAATATACTATAATGATCTAGAATCTTCCAAACATTCTATTTCTAATTTCTCTATTTTACAACTACTTCATGAATGAAAAATTTTTGTAATAACGAGTAGGACTCAGTGGAATCCCTTATTATAGAAATGCATCCTCGTAACAGTAAACTTGTACAGTGTCTAACTTGCTGGTATAATAGAAAAAATGCTAAGTGACTTTGCACCTTACCTCAGTGGAATCTGGCTGTGCAAACTTTTTGTTTCTTCATGTATTTTTACATATTCATCCTAGGAATATCATAAAATAAAGAATAATGACCAGATAAAATAAATGTTACATCTTTCTCAATATTTCTTTTATACTCTTGTAATATTCATATGCCTTTTTTCTTTTCTTTTTTTTTTCTTTTCATATTTCAGACACTATCTTCATCCTCTGTTTCTCCCTAATCATGTTATCTGTAGATCTGTGCAGTCCACACGTAAAGAATAAGATGTCTAAACGTGAATTTATTCGCAACACCCGAAGAGCAGCTCAAGAAGTGCAAGATGAATTGGCTGGACACCTTTACGATAATATATATTTGGTTGGTCATGTGGCCATGGCTCAGAAAGCCATGGCTGATCAAGCCCAGTACCGCATTGTGACCTGAAACCCACAAACTGTATTGTTCCAGATTCTCTGAACTAGCCATATATTGATTGCCTTCTCTTGGAATACCTACATCACTGACCCACCGCTTGTACATAGGCAATTTAAGGACATGGTGCACAAATAAACTGATGACCATGTTTTTTTTTTTTTTATTTTATTTTATTTAACCAAGGAACATTTTTAAAAAAACAGACTAAGAGGTCTTTCCCACCCCACAAAAATACTATAACGTCCATAACTTGTAAGATATGTTTATATACACGTTTTTAAATGTTTGTATATGTTAGGTATAATATATATGTATATACTGTTTCTTGTTACTGTATATTTATGTTTACTGATAGTTTTTTTTTTTTCACTATCATTTCATTGTAAATAGGCATCTACTAAATGATATATATATATATATATATATATATATATATATATATAATATGAATATATATATAACATGTATTTTGTTGGAATTTTTAAAATGAGAAATTGCCATACCTTTTTCATTCAGACTATTGTACTCATCTTGGTTGTTATGTTCACAACATTTCGGCCATTATAGCCTTTGGCTTTCTTCTGGTGTCTGTTGTAGTCTGTAACCTTTCCAGAATTTTTATTCGATCCACAAAGGTAGATATATATAGTATCAGTTAATACTCTCTAGTCTGTTTGCCATTGGATTACTTGTCTCTTTCTTCCATGAAAGCATTGCTTAAAACGTATCTGGTTTCCTGTCAGTTCAATTTCAGGGTCAGTTGGTGTGGAAAAGTCATTTACTTTGGTTCAACGGAAAAAATGTACCAATTACAATAAGGTGAACAGACTGGAGAGTATTGAGTTATACCAGTTATTAAGTGTAGGAAGCAGAATTAAAATCATCACCCATCTCTATGGATTGAATAAAGGGTTTTGGTTCAAAATTCTGATATGGCTACCAAATATGAAGACAGACACCTGAAAAAGGCTAAAGAGTGCAACATGAATATAACAGTCAAGATAAGCATATAAATTAGAATGAAAAAGCATAAAATTACACATTAGTATATGGCCATATATATATATATATATATATATATATATATATATATATATATATATATATATATATATATATATGATATAAATTAGCACTGGATGAAGAGGAAGAACAAATTTGGCCATGTCATTTTTTATACCACAGTGTGTTTTTTTTTTTTTTTTTTTTTGATTATCAGTTTTATCAATATAGTATATGAGGGAGTCCTAAAAAGATTGCAGCTTGACCCACTTCCCAAAATTATCTTATCAATTGAACATCAGAATTATTTTTGGTATGTTGGGATGAATATATGGAATATCATTTACATTTCATAGCTCTCAATCAATGGTCAGACCAAATGTTAAATTGCTACAGGTGAAATTTAAACTTATAACCCAGTATGATATACATTTTTATATTTATATCACTATATTTAGTGTAAAAGTTTTTAACTGCAAATGAAAAAAAAATATATATAAAGAACTTGCCTCATTAGGAAGCAACTACAATTTTTGTTAACTTGGTGGAAACCATGTTGTCATTCTATATTGAATTGGGATTTATATTTACAGAAGTCTATAGCTGATGTAGTGTATTTATATTTGTTTTCCTTTATTAAAATACTGAACAATATATCATAATTTTATATGGTTTTAAGTTGAAATTCTAGTTATTGATATATTTATCTATTGGTTTTGCATATATTAAGATACTTTTATATGTCTAATATTAAACTAAACTTTGATAATATTTCTAAGACAAAGTAGTTCTGATATAATTTTCTAGCTATTATATCTTGATATTTTTTTTTTTCAGTTTGTGATAACTATAAGGTGAGTTTTGTAGAGAAAATATTTTTTAACATTTTTTTTTTCATTTTGATTTGAATAGAGAATAATGTTATTGAGAATTGTTGACAAAATATATTGAAAAAATAAGCAGCTACAGTACTTTAAAAACATAAATAAAATTGTAAAAATATTTTACTCATCAATAAAATATTTGAAGAAACTAAGCTAAGAATCTAAAGTAAACTTAAATTTTATGAAACAGGAGAATCCAATGTATGCTTTACCTACATTTTATTTTTACACTACAAATGTAATCCATGTAAAACACTAAGTACTAATTATTATATACACATCTGGAATGCCAAGCTTTTTTATAAGAATGGATAAACATGCATATACAGGATAGCACATTGCTTGTGAATTTGGTTCTATGCATATTCTTACTAAACATTTAGCAGAAGTTATAATGTTTCATTATCTAAATGTGAAAGGAAGAATAGTCAATTATACTAACAGAAGTTGTTCCTTTAAGTTAAAATCAACTCTTAGTCTTGAAAAAATAATTTTCATAATCATTTGTGTGCTGTCCCTCTTAAGGATATGGGTAATCATAACTCTCTTCACAACTAAAATGCTCTTTCGTATGTGTGTGTGTTTTATATATATATATATATCCCTGTTAGTTTTTTTTTAAATCTGAACTGATTAGCCTTTTGCCTTCACATTATATACTTTTTCATTTGAATTGAGCATTTATATGTTGGAAAATACCTTTGCAGGGCTTTGAATCTTTTCTGGTAATTTCTGATCTGATTAAAGTAAATGATTTTATTCTCTGTCAACCTGTTGTCTGTAAGTGAAAAATTTTTCCAGTTTTTAGATGAATGGATTGTAATGCCTTTTGACCAATCTTCTTGGAGATTTTTTTTTTATATATGAAAGTAAATGCTGGAAACATATCTCATTTATTTTTTCATGAGAGAATTATTGTTGACTTAGTTTAATACTTGATCGTTTAGGTAGATAGTGAGCAATCCTTTCTTAGACTGATGTGCCTATTTGGACATTCACTTTATTGTAGAATCAAAAGGTATGGTTTTTTGAAACCCATTTAGGACCATATATTGGTTCTTATGATAATCTCTAAGTCAAGAATGGAAGAGTAAACTCTTTGGTAATCCTTTCATATTTTACATTGTTCAAACTGTTGCTCTCATCTTTATTACCATATTAACATTTCGGCTGTTGTACAGTCAAACCTTCTTCAGTTGATATTTGTTGGAATTCCAAACCGAACACTTTTAGTCCACGGGGGTAGATTGCTTTAATTCCATGCGCCATGCCTTTGGATATCTTCGTTTTAGTTAATTTCCCTTGATAGATGGTCCAGTAGATAAGTGTTGGTTGATTGATCCAAAAGTGACTTGACCTAAAGTTGTGAGTTCAATCTGTGGCTACAGCAGAGAGAACAAAAGCATTTGGAGAGTTATCAATGTATGAGAACAGTTTCATTTTTCTTTCTCAGCAACTTAATAATAATTAGAATAATAAGGAAATTAATTATAAGGTGACAAAATTATAATGAAGCTGTAATACAATATTATATAAAAACACTAGCCAGCTTCAGAAACAAACCAGAAAATTTTCAAAACCCCCTTATTATAAACAATTGTTCTGGCTCCTTTTAGGTAATAGGAATTTTTAGGTTTTATCTCGTGTTGTACAGATTTCTTAGATTAAGTATTGTTGTCATTTTATTTTCATTGCAATAAGAAAAAAAAACTACAAAAAAAAATTATAGTAATATCTTAAGTTTTTAATTCTGTTATTTCTAAATGAGTATACACTTTTTTCTTTTTTGCAGGCACATAAAAAATAATATTACTATTCTAAAATATTAATGAAATGTTTATCAACACAGTTAACATTTACTCTTCGTAACTACCAAGTTTTTAAACACAATCTAATTTACGAGAATAGAAACTCAGTGGTTTTCAAATTTCAAAACTGTGATAACAATTTTTTGATGACTAATTGAACACCTCCTCATATACAATATAGATGTACATATCATGTGTTGTTTTATGTGCATATTGTAATTTAATACATTAAATGCAAAGATATTGTTTATTCTGGACTTTGCATTAAAACCTTGAGTTTGAAATTAATGATGTTTTGATTTGCAATTTTCTATTATCAGATGATAATTTGTATACTATTATCAAATCTAAACATATTTGATGATATTGAGAATATTATTGAAAAAAGTAAACATTGCAGTCCAAGTAAACATGTTGCTGTGTTTGAAAACTCTTTATTCAATGATTAAAATAAATTTTTTATTGTAATTTTTGTTCATATTTGTTTTTATGATTTGCTATAATTACTAGTAATTCTTTCTTTTAAAATTATATTTCCAATTTTATGCATACCAGCATATGTGCATAAAGGATTTAACTTTAAATTAATGTTTGTATGAAATCAATATTTGATTAACAAAAAAAGGTTATTTTTACTAATATTATACTTTTGATATTAACAAAAATCAACTACATGTTTTATTTCTACAAGTATATTTTTCAGTTACTTTCATTTTTCACTTTTTTAAAATTTTTAAATATATATATATATATATATATATATATATATATATATATATATATATATATGGTGTAACAGCAAAATTGTTCATCTCACAAAATGTTTAATATCTAAAAAAAAAAAAAAAAAAAACTAAACTAATTGAGTTTTTCTTCCAGGTTTTCAGTTAACATGTCTAGCCATCTTGATACCATTTGTCGTAAGAATCACTGAAAAACCCTTTGAGTTATTCAGCTAGAAATAGAACAGGTTAATATGGTTTTTTGTCAACCCCATTGTCTTCCCAAATGAGCAATGGTGAGAGGAAAAAGATCATTCAGACCTTCAGTAATGGTACCAACATTCATCATCTGGCTTCCATCTTCAAAGTCGAATCAAGAACCAAGAGAATGGTGAATAAGTTTAAAAAAGAGGGAACAGTAGAGAGGAAAACTGGATCAGGTCACAACAGAAAGATCATTTCAACTTAGAGCTAAAGAGATCACTTAGAAAAGATCCAACTCAATCTATAAGATGTTTGGTACATGAGAGAGGACAGTTCAAAGTGCAGTGAAAAAAGATTTGAAAATGAAATGGTATGTATAACCTGAGGCA